AAATCCTGATTTAAACCATGTGACTATGTCCCGTGTCCCATTTAACCGCAAAACAGGTAATTAAAGTCTCCCTCAAATTATGTTGAAGACATACAGTTTCAGGAAACATTGACCTATAATTTTTTCATAAAAAGGGATTATTTTTCATTATAAACTGAAAACTCCAGTCAATAGCTATATTAGAAATCATAAAAAGTAGGGTTTTAACTCTGACTGCCAATATTTATAATACTTCAGAAAATGAGTATTAGATAAAACGTGTAATTTGGTTCCATATGGTAAAATGTAACATAATAGAGCATCTCTAAAATGATATAACCTGGAGAAAAGTTGTTAATATGATTAAATTTTACCCTGCACAGGATACTCAGTAGATCACTGTAAAAGATAACAGTGGAATCTGCTTGATAATTAATTTCTGTAGAACAGCTGTAGGCTTGAACCTATAAAAACTAATTTCAGTATAAATATTAGCATCTCTACAAAGCAGCGTCTCTCAAAACTGGTAAAATTAAACAGAGCAAGTACCAACAAGTTTGCAGGTATCAGAAAATCCGTTTTGATTATTTATTTCATTTATGTTTTAGGCACTTACAAACTATACATGGATATCCAACAGCAGCAGAACACTATAATATAAAGCCAGAACTTCTGGTTATTTTTAAGAACATGTTAACTTTTCCTAATAACCAGCTTGATATAATACAAAAATAATACCACTTTAAAGCATTGCAATGTTTAAGCCATCCTAATTCAATTTATTGTCTAAAATATGCACTGTGCATAGCTATTAATCTCAAGGTGGCTCTAATCAAGCTTCAGAGAGTACTTAGAAATAGCACAATTCATTGCCTCACTAGCATTTTTTAAATGGCAGTGGTCCACTTTCTTTCCTTGGTCAAGAGTGGAAAAGAAAGAAAGAAAAAGGGTAAGAGGGACTTCTCTGTGGAAAGGTTTGGCCTTGGAGTCAAGGCTTTTAAGATGTGCCAGTGATCTTGGATCGATGCCTTTTTATTTTCTTTCAGGAATAAATCTGAGCAATGGAATGGCTTGCGATTGTCTGGCCAACCAGCCATATCAGATTTATCAGAAAGAATGAAAACTGGCTCAGAGGACTCCTGCAGTGGTTGAGTGGCAGGTTACTGGGAAAGACATACACAAAAACAATGTACTTAGTGGTGGAAAGGAAAACATATATTAACACATGTAAACTCAATAAATACTAAGATGTAAAGAGAGAATCTATAGTAACAGAAAGGGTGAATGCATAAGACAGATGATAAATAGTACTTCTATTTAAAAACCAAAGGGATGAAAGCTCATGAATACTAAATATTTGAATCCACTTTGAGGAGGAAATATGATTTTCCATCAAATAAATGAAAACTCTAAAAATCAGCCAATGCAAACTTACTGTGCTCAGGTTAGAATAAAAAATGCATAAATCTTCCACAAAGTTCATGCTGATAAATATTCTAATGTAATTTCTTAATTAAGACACATTTCCAGTGACTAAATGAAAATATATATATATAAAGCAGTAAGTGCCTTGATTTTCAACAAAATTTCACTTTCTATGCATACATGATTAAAATAAATAAAAGCAGTTGAGTTTAACAGCAAAAAAAAAAAAAAAAAAAAAAAAAAGGAATACTGATATAACCGGAGTCATTTCATCACAACAGAACATTTATAGTATTTCCAAGCAATTTGCAGTTATACTAATAGATATTTATTTATTTAGACACATTGTCAAGAAAAAAATAACACCTTCTAAAAAGCCCCCATATATATGAGAATTTCAAATTAAAAAGAAAACAGTGTACCCATAGATGTGCTTACAGTAAACACCTGTAAGAAAGAGAATTGATGCTTTTTTGAAAATATATTTAACACCATTTTCATGAATTAACTTTTATTAACATTTTTCTTCTCAAATGAAAAATAACCCCACGATTTTGGAGATATAATGATGTATCTTAAACATGTAAGAAAGCTATATGTACTTTTATAGAATGAAAAGCAAGACTGAGTTACCTGCAAAAAAGAAATGAGAACTGAACTTGTTCATTTATCTACTAAGGTATATAAGAGTACCACCTCAATACTACTATATATTTTCTTCAATACAAAGGTAATATTGATAATTTTCCATTATACAAGGAAGACATAAATTTTAGAATTATTCCTTTGGTTAGCAAAGGCTTTATAATTGCCATATAAAGGGACTTTGGCTATATGTCTAGATATAATATATCTAAAAATGCATAACTGAAAATGAGACAACGTCCTTTAGAATTTCTAAAAAATCACCTTCTCTAAAGCTGAATTTTTTCCAAGCAAAAGAAAAAAAAGGTCTTCTGTTACAATTATTTTAAAAAATATCTTGAAGATCTATACAACAGTATCCCCCTCCCTATATTTTTATTCTGTTCACATAGAGCAGTAAATAAGGTGCATTCCTTCTGCTTCTTAAGAAATTAGCATTTCAAAAATATGCCACTTTCCCCTGAACTCCAAGCGTGTCTAATAATGCGAGAAGCAGATTGTCTTCCCTCGTTTCCTTAATTTGTTTCATCTAAAAGCAATTCACTCAACATCTTGTCGCCCTCTGGCAGCTTAGTTTACTTATCCGCACTTAATTTCTCATTTGGACCAAAACAAACTCCTCTAAACTGCTACTGACTGCTAACCGCGAGAGGGGAGACGCGCAATATGTATTTAGTTGGGAACACACAGCCACACACATACATAGGCACGAACACACACAGCCTCACTCATACCCCAGACAGTAACTTGTTTTTATAATAGCACACTGCATTAAAACCAGCTGAACTTTCCCTGCCAGGTGCGGCAGGGTGGGGGTGGGGGAGAATGAAGAAAGAAGTCCCCGGGGCATTTACAGTTTCCATTGGATCACCTTAGTATGCGTGTTGCAATTATACCAGGGATGCACCCGAGAGTTTTTCTTTGTACGGCCCTTTCATCTGGATCACTTTGTGTTTTGAACAAGTGAGACTCGCCTTTGTGCCCCCAGAATTTCAAGTACAGAGTCACACACGGAACAATGGCACGCTAATCCTCGCGCTCTAAATGGGCTCACTTGTGGGTCTGACAATTCGCCCAACGAAACGAGAAGAGATGAGCGAGGGCGCGAGCTGGTGTCGCCTGAGACGAGGAAGAGGACAGCTGCAGAACTAATTTGGATTACATTCCTTGCAGAAATTCTGAAAAGGGCTTTTCGGCATAGCTCAACCCGGAGCCGCACAGTTAATACCAAATTGCTGCGGACTCGGAGCGGGGTCCCTCAGCGGCAGAGGCTGAACCAGCCAGCCCCCAGTAGGTCGCCTCGTAGAAATTCCTCTCGGCTAAGCCTGCATGTCGGTCGCCACTGCCTTTGAATGGGTCAATGTGTATAATCAACCCATTGAGGGAAAATATGAAGGGACTCGAAGTGGGGAGGGAGATAAAAAGAGATGTATCTAAGAGGCCGCTTGGAATGTCAAGTCCGTGTTGGTGTGATTCCGGGGGTGGCTGGAGCGCGGGACCTGGTATGCGTGAAGAATTTCGGAGTAATTGGGAGGGTGCAAACAGCCAGCACAAAACGCCGCACATGTGCCATTCGAAGGTCATTTTGAAAGCCTCGATGATTGTAACTTGTTGTTTACTAGGCAAAGGAGGCGGCGGCGGCGGGGGCGGAGCGGGAAAACTACAGCTTGCTGTTTCCTTGGTGAGGTCAGAAGGACACCCTCCGGGGGCCTAAAGCGCTCCCTATCGCCACTCCCGGGGGCTTTATCACCTCAAGCTACTTCCCACGCTCCAGTCACCATCCCCGAATGGTTTCAGAAATCTCCCTGGCTCTCCAAAAGGCACACCTTGGCCGCATCAGACACCGGTCCTCCTCAGACCTCTCCCGTCCCACTTTCATCCCCAGGAAACTCAAGTGTCAGAAACTTTGAGCTTCCTTGCACTGCAGGTGCTGTCATTAGTCCTGCAAGCCTTGGCGCTCCAACCCCGCCGCGCTGCCTCTCGGGGTCAATTAGCCCTTTGCCTGCCCAGGTACCTGGGGCTCGAGCTCTCCAGCAAGCAGTGGCCGCGCACCCGCCGCCGCCGCTTGCGCCTCGGGTGGATCCAGTGACCCGCAGGCTCGGCAGCCCGGCCAGGCAGTAAACAGACAAGTTTGAAGGACTCCGGCCAATAGCAAGTTGAACTACAGGAAGAACTCTTCCAGGAGCCAAACACGGCAACCGACGGGAAGGCCCGGCTTCTGGCTCGAGTGTGCCAAGCCTTTTTTTTTTTTCTTTTAAGAGGTCATGCAGGCGAGCAAGCGCCCCTCAAGTCAATGGGGCAAGGGCTCCGGGAAGCCGGCCGAAGAGGCCCAGAGCTCCAGACCCCGGACCGAGGCGCGCCCGCCCGCTGCACTCTTGCTGCCCGGGCTGGGTACGAGTCGCGTCTGACCCCACAAGGCTTGGGCGACTGGGGGCGCAGCGGCCGCCGGCAGCACACACAGGTGCAAAGCCCGGGTCTCTGAGCGCCACTCTCCACCGCCCTTCAGGCTTGGCGCGGGAGAGGCCCAGCCAGCACCTCCCCAGGACCCCGGCCCTCCGCGGCCCCGGCGGTGCGGGTTCCTCCCTCGAGGGACCAGACAGGGACAGGAGAGTCTCCTCTGACTGGGGATTTGGGTCTCCCATGTCCCGAACAACAGGCGCCACCAGAAGGGATCCCGCTTAGGCTCCCACACAAAACGCTCGGGAAAGAAAAACAGGGGGTTAAGGAGAGAAAAAAGAGGGGCTCAGAGTGATTTCTTCACGATAAAGCACAGGCACACATACAGGGTAAGTTTCAAATGGAAAGAGGGGCGACCGAGAGCCCAGGGAAGAAGTCCCGGTCGAGCGGTCCCTCCACGCCTCCCGGGATGGGTGAAGAGGGCGGGGGAGCCACTCAAGGCAGCCCCGCCGGCGGCGGCAGGTTCGGCGACCGGAGCGCCAGAAGGAACCCACCTGACTGAGAATCGCTGGGCTGGACGGTCCCCGCCGCCACGAGAAGGCTCACCCAGACCCAAAGTCCTGTCGCCGGCTTCATTTTTTGGAAGTCTCAGATCCCGTGCTGACAATTACATGTCCAAATGGCATATCCCCCTTTCGGGCACGCGGAGGAGATCCCCCAGCCGGGCGCGCGTGGGGGCGCGAGGGGGGCGGGCGCGGCGCGCGCGGTGTAGCGACTCCCAGGGCGGGCGACCTAGTCCGCGCCCGCGGGTCCAGGGCCGGGGCCCGAAGAGGGGGCGAGTGTGCGTGTGTTGGAGTGTGCTCGGTGTGTGCGCGTGGCGGTCCGGGCCGAACTGTGCAGTTATTTCCCCGCGTGAGCCTTCGCTTGCTCGCTGCCTCCTCACTTTCTCTCTCTCTCACTGGTTGGTCAACAATAAAAAAGGAAGGGGGGCGAAAGGTTTCCAAAAAAAGTTGATTGCAAAGAGGCGGTAGGTTTCCGGCCTCTCCCCGCAGCCGGGCTGTGTTCTGCTCCTTCTTCAGTTTCCTTGCACCTCCAGTCCAAATGGGGAGGGGAGCGGGGCGGGGGGAGCTTCTCGCTTCTCCCCGGATCCCGTCCTTCTTTTTCCTGTCAGCTTTCCTCACACTTGTCCGGCGGCTGCGGTAATTAAAGCTCCGAGCGTCATTTCCAACGCTCCGCGGTCTCCAGCTGCAGCCCACAGAGAAATTAATAAGACTCCAGAAAAAAAAAAAAAAAGAAAAAAAAAAAGGTGGGGGGGGCGGTGGGAATAAAACAACCCTCCACGCAACCAGGCAGGCTCTGCTCAGCCGCGCAAACCCCGCCCATGCTCTGACCCAACTAGCCACGCCCTTCTCCCCCGCCCCCCGCCCCAAAGGGAAATCTCATTGGCTCAGCCACTCCCCAAAATCCTAGGCCCCCGGAGTTGGGAAAACACCTGTCAGGGAGAGGGAGCAGCTTGGTGGGGGCAGGGGAAGCTGGATTTAAAGGGCTCACCGAAGCCATGCACTGAAGCACTCCTCTTCCCTCCCTGGCAGAGGCCTGGGACAGCTGGCCCGCAGAGTGGACAGACCATCGGAGGGGCGCTTACAGAAAAGATTTTTTTTAAAAAACAAGTCAGCATTTTCTCCATTGTCCCACGGTGCTTATCTACAGACAGGACTTTCCCTAGAAATAAAAGAAAAGTCAATGTTGCTTTCAGCAAAAAGCCTCCGCCCGCAGCACTCTGCCACTCATGGTCCACAATTAGAAAGTACTTTAAAAGTGTGCACAGTAAGTAACTAGTAGCCCCTGAGGATTAGGTGGTGGTAGGGATATAATCACCGCCCCGCCTCCCGCCCCCAGTTATGCCATCTCTCCGGTTATTCCCACATTTCCAAACTGACCGACATTGAGCCAAACTAAAATTTCACATTTATAAAGCCATACCCTTTGATTTTTAGATTTTATGTTTTTTTCACCTTTGGAGTTCATTCTTATTAAGCAGATTCTAGTCCAAAGCCACTGATTTAATCTTAAAGGGCTAGAAATTGTCTCAACCTGAAAGTATTTAAGGAGGCCACATCAGAACATAATTAACCTTAAATGATTCTGCTTCTTCTACAGTAGACCCAGCTTTAGGCCCTTTCCTTGTCCTCACTCTGCACATTCATGGTCCCTAATCCGGAGGTCATTGCTAGTTATGAAAATCTCTGACCTTTTCTGAATCTAAAATATTCTGGGACTGGGTCATATCAATGTTCATATCCCTTGCCTTTTACAGCTCTGAAACCGCACCCTGGCAAGGACCAGAATCTCCTGGGGGTAGTAAGTTATTAGTTACTATTTGTACAGGCATTCTATGTATGAATCACTTTCCTTTTTTGGTTTTTCTAGAAGCAGCAAATATATAAATAAAAAGTATCAGGGGAGCTTAAAAATCAAACCACCCTGCCTTTCATTTGAGACCTGGATCTCCATTTCCCACTCTCTTATCTATAGCTCCATCCCTTAAGAATTTCCATGGAGCTGAGAACAGATAGGAAATACAGATGCCTGAAGCCTGAAGCTTTCCCTTTCTTAGACCCACAGCAAATAACAGGCTCCATGAAGACGCCAAACAAGCTGAGCATGCGGTTTTAGCAGAAGCAGCCTAGGGCAGGAAGGAACTAGAGCAGATGACAGTGACTTGACCATAATGGTACTGATTGCAGCAGAACTGTGCACACTGCTCTTTGGGATTATCTTTGTTTTCTTATTTATTACTCTTTCTCTCTGTTTTCTCTTCTTTCATTCAATCTCTCTTCATTCCCCTTTCCTTAAATCTTTTTGAAATTCTAAGGCACCTCTCTTCCATAAAAGCTACTTCTTTTCAAAACTTACTTTCTATCCCTAGAACGACAATTTAAATGAGAAAAACAAAATGTCTTGCTTTTGGAAAAGTTTAAGTCTCTGTAGTAAAAAAAAAAAAAAAAAAAAAAAAAAGGAAAAAAGAAAAAGGAAAAAAAAAAGTCTGGTTTCTGATGCCAATTATGTTGCACGAAGTGAAGGAATAGGCCAGGAGTGGTGGCTCATGCTTCTAATTCTAGCATTTTGGGAGGCTGAAGTGGGAGGATCCCTTGAGGCCAGAAGTTCCAGATCAACGTGGGCAACATAGTGAGACCTCATCTCTACCAATTTTTTTTTTCATGAGCTGGGTATGGTGGTGCACACCTGTAGTCTTAGCTATCGGGAGGCTGAGGTGGGATATGATTGCTTGAGTCCAGGAGTTAGTGGTTACAGTGAGCTATAATCATGCCACTGCACTCCAACCTGGGAGACAGACCAAGACTCCATCTCTAACAACAACAACAACAAAAAGACAAAGTTAATAAATGAATTGCATATTTTAGCTTAAATTGAGGGGCAAAAACTTAATGGCCTGAATATTTTGGATTTTCTTTATAGTTGTGTCAATTATGACAGTTTTTGTTCCCCTGTCAATTTAATAGCTTTTATATGACAGAGTATCTTCTATATGCCCTGGTCTCACCCATATCTTCTAGAATAATTCTCGACAAAGGAGGATTTTCCATTAATATTTGTTGATTTATAAAAACAGTATATATTTTTGTGGATATTAAACAGCCCATACAAGGTATTCACCTATTAAATTACCCAACATACCCTCAGTTTCCTTCTAATTCTGTTTGTTCTGCCTTGATCCCCATTTTACTGGTTCTAACACTGAAACAACAATTTTAGATATGTGGCCACAGATGAATATCTGAACAGCAGCTTATAAAATGATTTGACATAAAAGCTTTCGCCAAAAAAAGCGTGATATATTTGGTGGTGCCTTGTCTACCCAATCAGATTCTAGCTCAGATAAATTGAAATGTAGACAGGAAGATAGTACCCTATATGGGCAAGCCAGAGGATGAGAAAGAAGTCATGAGCTAGAGTCAAGAATCAGTTTTTTCAGTGTCTACCCTCATTTGCTTCCCATCTCATCTAAGTCGTTATAAGAAACAAACACCAGAGTAGGGAATATTTACTAGCTGATGTAGAAAGGACATGATACTTGGATTGTTGGAGGCCAAGATGGAGCTCTGTATTTCTTTACTTTTCCATATAGCTTGATAATAAATCCCTATTAGGGAACCTAACTAGAATGTGTTGCTGTTACTCGCAACCTGCATAAAAATTATGTGGGTAACTCCATGTGTTACTTAGCAAGCCACGGATGAATACCTGGAATTATCTGCTGAGTGCCCATTTTCTAGAAACAGCCCTTTCCTCAGTTCTACATGTTTAACTTGGATCTACCTTCAGGCTACAAGAAACCCCCTCCCTGGCTCTAAGTTGGACCACTCAAAACACCAAGTTGAACCAAGTAAAATGCCTTGGTCACTGTTAATTGGATGGGACTTCCACTGAGTCCTTTATCTGGCATTTTTATGAATGAAATAAAGAGTTTATATCCAGTATTTCATGGATAGCTTTTGAGATCTAAAACTTCACATCTAGTTTTTCTTTCCTTCTATATAGGAATAACCAAGCCGTGGTGAGAATGAAGCTACTGTTTGAAAGAATCAAAATCTCAGATGGATCTGGAGAACATTCAAGCTCTTCCTGTGGCCATTTCATGTCCCCTTTTTCCTTAAGCTAGTTCAATTTTCATTTTTGTTACCTGAAATCAGAACAGTGTGAAATGGGACTAGAACTTCTGCAGCTTGAGAGAGATCATAGAGGTCATTATGCCTGAGAAAGATATCTTGCTATGGCCCATATTCTTTTATTTTCCTTCCAGATCTCTGACACTTTCCCTTGATTGAAGCTGTAACCCCAATATAGAGATGGCTTTGTCCTGTGATGCTCTTTCATATCCCCTTCTCCACTTCATTTCTTCCATTATTAATAGAATTCAAGGAGAGTCTTGACATAATGAGTGACGGAATGCTTCTTTTTGGGGAAAGGAACACATTGAACTCAGAACTCAGTGTAAAATTATCATAGATCCCTGACTTTGTCCCAGAGTCTTATAGTTCATTCCAATCTTTGGCTTGTTTCTAAGACTTCCCTAAAGGTCATATTTTGAGCTTGCTGCTATAGATATTTTGCCATTGGCCATAAATATAAATTTGGGACAAATGTCAAGTAAGAAAAGAAAACAAGACTCTATTACAAATCAATTATCTTCTCAACATTTAAAAATATATAATTATAATTTCACTTATTGTACTTTATCTTCCTCCTTATCTTTCTAAGTTATCTTGTGATCATGAGCAATTCAATTCATATACCTGTGCCCATTTCCTCACCTTTAAAGGAAGGGCTTGTTACATCCCAGATCTAATACTTTATAAGTCTCTGATTTACTCTTCACCTACTAAGTGCATATCAAAATTCCCATATATTTTAATTTTCTCTTACATTCCTTCTTCTTTACCCCCACTCACCCCCACACACATCTTCATCTGGGACACCAGATGAACACAGCTTAAACTATCATTCTTACCTCAGGCTGCTACATCAAATACCATTGACTGGGTGGCTTAAACAGCAAACATTTATTTCTCACAATTCTGGAGGCTGAGAAGTCCAAGATCAAGTTGCTAGCTGATTTGGTTCCTGGTGAGGACCCTCTTCTGGTTTGCAGATGAGCTTCTTCTTGCCATATCTTCACATGGCAGAGAGAGACAGAGAGAGAGAGAGAATCACTCCCGCGTCTCTTCTTTGCGATCACTAATCCCATTCATGAAGGTTCCACCCTCATGATATAATTAGCCAAAACTCTATGTACAAATACTATCAGATGGAGGATTAGCACTTCAAGATGTGAATTTGGGGACACACAAATATTCAGATAGTAGCGAGGCCTTAGGAAAATGTGCAGATAAGCTCACTTCTGTGTTACTGGGAAGTGATCAAGACCTGGGCTCTTTACCACTCTTTCAGCCAAGGAGAGACTGGTAAATATCAACCAGGTTCAGCATTATGATAATCAAGCAAATGACAGACACAGTGGTGGTAGATTTTGCTTGTTATTAATAGTTTGTTGACTTAGCACTTGAAATAACGCCTTTCCTCTTAACCCTCTGAGTTCTGGAATTCTCTGATATTTTGGTGACATTCAATGTTTCAAGGCCAAAAACAACTGAAAAATTCAAATATGCTTTAAATGCACAAATACACGTTAACTTAAACAATCTTTTTGTTGCCTTAATTTAATATTCTAGGAGGACGTTCCCAAGATTATTTTACTTTTGGTTAGTAAGCATTGTTTTCCTTCTATGTGCATGATTAAGCCTTAATTTTTTAAGTGCTAAGAAGGAGTGACTGAACATAAATCAGTCAAATCTGTTTTGCTTTGATGTCCAATTACCAATGCCTGTCCAAGTTCTTATGGACATTTTTGATTTGTGGTTGAAACTATAAAACAATTTAAGACCTGTGGAAGGAGTAATATTTTCCAAAAAGATTATGCAGAAATGTTGTGTATCTGTTTTATACAGTTTCTTGAAACCAAGATATTGTGATCCATGTAACTTTTTGTACTGATGTGTAAGCTCAAAGAGAAAGAAAACCTTCAATAGCAGTTGCCAATTAAAAACTAGAAAGAAAAGAGACATTTCTCCTTTTTGCTTT